TCCTGGCCTAGTTGAGTTACTAGTCCAGAGTGATAATGGGGCGGGGTTGGGAGGTGGGGAGTTTTCTGTCTGTCTTTGGGCTGCTCTCTTAAAAGAAGACTTCGTTTGCGTGTGCTAGATCTTAAATGCATGACACGTCAGGATATAGCTGCCTGGTTTCATTTTTCCTGTCTGAGCACTTTCCCACAGAATTTAGCAGGGTCACATGTTTTGCACTGTGAATTTCCCAGTGCAGCATGCCACTAAATGAAGATGATCAGACACCCAGGTGTCTGCTGTCTATGCTTTGGGGGTAGATGTTTGAGAATGCCACAAAGATGAGTGCCATGCCCCTGGAGAGTTTCCTAAGAAAACAGTGATATATTGTAATTATTAATAAAATAATTTACCCAAAGTGGATAGAATAAAATTGGTTTTTCATACATTTAGATAGCCTTACTGTTAGCAGAACTTCAAGTTCTACATACTCCCCACCTTTGTAGTGCAGGTCCAGGCCTACATCAGCCATGTGATGTGACTCTCACCACGTCGGGCTAGGGCTTCAGGAGGCTAAGTGCTGTGTACATGCTGGTGAGCTCATGGTGCAAAGCCCTAGTCTTCTGCCCAGCACTCGTGAACAGCAAGGGAAGCACCTCTTCATTGAATTAGGCATGCTACATACTTTTCCCTTGCTTATCATTTACCGTATGAATTAATGATGAGTTTGTTTTCAGTTTTTTCCAAAAGGACACAAACTCTGTTTGGGGGAGGTAGAAGACATTTTTATATTTAACTGTGGGACGCAGTCACATAAATTTTGCTTTGTGTGGTAGAAACTAAAATTACAGTACTACTCTGTAACTTTGTATACTCAACAGCTTAACATAGCTTTCAATTCAAGTAAGCATACTATCTTTTTTTTAATCAATTTTGTGGATAATTGTTATTTTTCTTACATTCTGACTTACTTGTCATTTTAATAGTGTGTTTCTCCTCTCTTCCTTTTCCCTTTCCTCTCTCCTTTCCTCTGTTCCCTACTCCCTCTTTCTTTGCATGCCACCTGGATCTGCAGATGAAATTAGTGGGGACGGTAATGTTTATTTTCACATTTGTGTTATTTCTATGAGTGTGTGTATAATAATTCTTAGGCATGAGATAGTGAAAAGGAAAATAATAATCATAATTTTAAGTCACACAATGCAATTTGGGGAAATTGTAGGCATCTCTGTTTTCTTAGACTAGATATTCTGAATCTTTTCTAGTGTCTTACGTTTCTCATTTTACTTTGTGTAGTGTCTGCATGAAACTTTATACTTTCTACAGCAGAGGAGTGAGAGTTTGTAAACTAAAACAAAGATTTGCATTTATTTCTTGTGATTAAATGACAGAATGTTTTCACTGAAGATTTCACCCTGTTCAGGTTGTGATGAAAATAATTAATAACCTGCATAGAGTGAGCAAAGCAATTGTAGCTAAAGCTCTTACCTATATAGAGCTTTCAGAAAGTGCATGTTCTTTATGAAATTGGGAGGCAAAAGATTCTACTTCATTTCTAGATCATTCTATGGTAGTAATAACTGAACAAGCAGGCATCTGAGTGCTTGCAGTGTGCAGGCACCTGACCTCTGTGATTCCTGGCTCACCACCATAATCCTGAATATCCCTGGGTAGCACAGTTACACAGATGAAGAAAATGATCATGAGAAACCAGTAGTCAGGTCTTGGGCTCCAGACTCACCTTGTCCACCGCCCACTTTGTCAGTCTTGACTCTTAAGTGACCTCCAGCACATTGGTCACCCTGTGTCTTCTTGAGAGAAAGGATCTCAGTGGTTTCTGTAAGAATTGTTGCAAAGCGAATAATTATTAGCCCAGGTGAATAGAATACTGGTGTTTGGAGGCCATAGAAAACATATCTGTGCTCAGATGTTATCAGTAGGCTCAGTGTTGCTTTGATAAATCCCCAGAGGTTTTATATAGAATTTGTATAGGTAAAAAAAAAATTAGGCGCCAGTGGCTCACTCCTGTCATCCTAGCTACTCAGGAGGCTGAGATCTGAGCATCACGGTTCAAAGCCAGGCCGGGCAGAAAAGTCTGTGAAACTCTTATGTGAAAACTCTTATCTCCAATAAGCCACTAGAAAACCGGAAATAGTGCTGTGGTCAAGTGGTAGAGCACTAGCCTTGAGCTAAAGAGCTGAGGGACAGCGCCCAGGCCCTGAATTAAAACCCCATGACCAAAGCAAAACCACACAAAAAAAATTCCTGCCAGGCACTGTTGGCTCCTGGCTCTAATCCTAGCTACTTGGAAGGCTGAAATCTGAAGATTGTGGTTCCAAGACATCCTAGGCAGGAAAATCTATTTAACTAGCAAAAACCAGAAGTGGGGCTATGGCTCAAGTGGTAGGGTAACAGCCCTGAGCAGAAAAAGCTAAGCCCGGGCTCTTGAGTTCAAGCCCTAAGACTGACACCAAAAAAGGAATTATAGGCTCTTTTATGAGATAGTCCTTGAGGATACACATTGCAGTCAGATCAAGACTGACACCAGAGTATCAGCAGTGCCTCTCAGCTCTGTCCCTATCACAACTATGGGAGAAGCTGCCATTTCTCCATCATCTATCTCACCCAGGGCCACATCTCACCATCCCATGTATTCCTTGCAGTCCTGTTACATCCCCATGGGTCCTAGCTGCTGTCCTTGTGTACATGACACACGACACCTATCCAGGGAGTCATGAGTGCCTGTAGGTGGCCTGTACCTTTAGGTCACATTTGCCTGTACAGCTCGGCCAAGGTACAGCAGCTCTGCTGCTTAGCATGCTGAAAGGGCTGCTCTTGTGCTATGCACTGTGCTGAGGACGCACAGATGAATCTGATACACAGGAGCTCTGCTTCCGTGGACACTGGGCAGGTTGGCAGAGAGTAACAGAGGCCAAGTAATACTAGGTAATATGCCAACTATAAGTTGCAGAGCAGTGGTGGCAAAAAATCAAACAAACCAACAAAAACTTCTTTTGTGGAAAGAAAGAGTCTAAATGATGGCACACTGGTGAAACCAAGTTGGCACTGAGCCAGCTCCGCTCCACTGAGGGAGCTGAAGTCACTGCTGTTGGAGTTGTGGTGTCACCCCCCTGTTCACTCACATAGTGGACACCTGCTACAGGAGAGAGAGGGCTTCTGGGCAGCCCTGCTGTGGTCCTCTGCAGCCCTGGGAGGCCTCACTTCCTGTGTCATGCGTGTAAAACATCCACCCAACACAGTCAAGGACAGCGGATTATGGGGTCAGCCAAAGGGAGGATGCCCACAGTGAGGGGCCGAGCTGCAGGTGGTGATGGTGTGGCCTTGTTTGCATTCAGTTTCTGGGGAGGCACCATGAAGTTGAGCCTGATAAATTTTGGGCTAAAAAGAGAAAATGGTTAGCAGACGCTCCTCTGTATGACTGGTGCTGCTCCCATTGCCTTAGCTATGAGTGTGGTAGCAGACTCCCTGCTCAGTCCTTGTTACAGACTTGAGAGCCACTCCTTCTGCCTCCAGTCTTCCTACACAGATGCAGAGCTGCAGGCCTGTAGGTGCCAGTGCTTTTCTGTATATCATCATGCCTGTCCTAGAGGACTAGGGAATATTGTACATTTCACAAATTATGGAGAATTGGTTCATTCACCTTCCATTCTGCCAGCCAAACCTTTGTTTTACTTTAATCAGTTTAATGGTTATACATTGAGAACTAAATTGTTCCAGCCAGTGTGTGCAGCAATATCTGTCCTGTGGCTGTGAAGGGTGCGAATTCTGTTTTCCTTGGTTCCCATGCTTTTAACCCTGAGTGAAGTGCAAGGGCCGCACCAGAGGAAGCACCTGCACCTGCCAGCCTGTTAGCAGAAGCGCTGCCAGCCCTGTGACCTGCAGGCACAGTCCTCCACCAAGGAACAGTTGGGGGTCTTTTTCCAGAAAGCGTCAAACATAACTCACTTCAGTGGATTTTCACCAAGTGTTGTTCAACTGAATGGTAGTTTACCTCAGATGAGTGGTTCTTTTTCATTTCCCACTAACAACAGGTAGTGGGCTATTAAATTAAGTTGTTGTATTACCAAAAGACATAAATGTGACTTTGGAACCTCCTGACATCATCTTTAAAAGAAAAAAAAAGCAAAAACAAACCAAATGCCTCATTTTAAGACACCTTTGTTTTCTCTTTTCTTTTTTCTTTCTTTCTTTTTTTTTTTTTGTCGGTTGTGGGCCTGAACTCTGAGCCTGGGCGCTGTCCCTCAGCTCTTCAGATGTAGACTAACGCTCTACCACTTGAGCCTCAGCCCCACTTCTGGCTTTTTCTGCTTATGTGGTACTGAGGAATCGAACCGAAGGCCTCATGCATGCAAGGCAAGCAATCTACCACTGAGCCACCTTCCCAGCCCCTGTTTTATTCTTTTTTGCAGTCTTTTGCCTTTTTGAAATTAATGTGTACACATCAACTATCCAGGCAAAAAAGTTACAAAGGATAAAAGTTCCTGGGTTGCATTTTTTGAAACCTAAACAAATGAAATAAATCAGCCCAGTTAATCTCCTGTAAAGTTGAACTGTCATTTGTTTTCTGAAGGTGAAATTTCTAATTATGCAATTGAGTCTAGTTAATAAAAACAGATACTAGCTGGTCTTTAAAGATGTCATTCTTATTTGGAAAAATCTCAGTAGGCCACAGTGTAGCTTTTAAAACATTCATTTGGTGTAGTTAAGGGAGAGGAGAATTCCATAGTCAGCACAGATAGGTTATTTTGAATCATATTCATACTTAATTCACAAGGGCCTGGTGTGGAGCCTTGAGGTCTGTATATTACAACATGTTGCAGTAATGTCATCTTTAATTCCATAAATTACCTGTATGTGAGTAAAATTTGCCTAATAATAGTGTTTTAAGAATATTTAAGGTATTGTGGGAGTTTAGATCGCTAATTGCCTTTTCAAATTATATTAACTAAAGGCCAGGAGGCCAGGCACCTAACTTTTGCCATCATCTGTTTCCCTTGGTGCAGAGACAGATGATTATGCTGAGATCATTGATGAAGAAGACACCTACACAATGCCCTCAAGTGAGTAAGCCATTCCTTTGCTTCCCGCTCTGGTTTCACCAGAAGAACCTCATCACTGAGTGCTTTGCAGAAAAACTCTTTTAGTCTTTTTTTTTCTTTTTTTTTTTTTTTTTGGTGAAAATACCGTACAGAGGGGTTACAATTACATGGGCAAGGTAATGAGTACATTTCTTATCAAGCATTGTTGCTTCCTCCTCTGTTTCCCCTTCCCATCCCTTCCCATCCTCCCCTGGCCCCCCCCCCCCCACCTTCCCCTTTCCACCCCTTCACCCCCCCCTCTTTTAGTCTTTAGAGTTCTATATATGCCCATTCTAGGTCAAAAGTTTACAACACAAATATCTATTATTTAAGTTACAGAATATTGTAATCTTGTTTTCTAGCTCTATGATAATATGAACTTTATTGGCTAGTGTATTTTCTGTATAGATAATTAGTATTGTTTAAAGATTAAATACAAGCCAGTGGGAGGAAAAGTACACAGAACCTTAGACGAGTTCTTCAAAGCCTGGAAGTGTCAAGGTGTTCTTCCTCAGAATGACCACTCACTCGGCTTGGAGGAGACAAATCTGTGCGCCTAATTTTTGCATTGGATATGCTCTTAAAGTTTTTGTTTTTTGTATTAAAAAATTAAGGAAGTGGGGCTGGGAAGGTGGCTCAGTGGTAGAGCGCTTGCCTTTGCATGCATGAGGCCCTGGGTTCGATTCCACATAAGCAAAAAGAAAAAAGCCGGAAGTGGCGCTGTGGCTCAAGTGGTAGAGCTCTAGTGTTGAGCTGAAGAGCTGAGGGACAACGCCCAGGCCCCATGACCGGACCCAAAAAAAAAAAAAAATAAAAAAATTAAGCTTCAGAAGCCTTAGTAATTTGAAATCTGCTTGTCCCAGTTTCAGTAGATTCAACAGAGCTAAATGTTCTGTTTACAGTAAGGAGATAGTACCAAAAGAGAAGAGAGAACCAAGCCTCTGAGGCTTGCATTTTCCTTGCCAGTCCAGTCAGACCCAGTGTGGACTTTCTGATTACCAATAGCCATTGCGAAAATGTTTTAAGTATTGTTTACTTTGTTTTTTGTTTTGGGGGGATTTTTTTCGTATTTTTAAAAATTCATTGTAAAGGTGATAAACGGGTTGTTATGGTTACATAAGTAAGGTAATGAGTACATTTCTATTTAAACATTGCTACATCCCATCTCCCTCATTTTCTCCCGCTTACCCCTCCCCATTCTCCCCCTCCCTAAGTATTGTTTTGTTGATTTAGTCATGTGTACATTCTTACAAATGTAGTATGTTGATTATGTGTAGTTGAGTACTAAATGTTTCATGTGCCTGCCTCTTATCCAGATCTCACAAAAATGTGTTATAAAGTAGAAAATTATGAGATAGGGATCTAGTGACGTAAAGTAACATTGAGTTAACTTAGTTTTTTTCTTGTGTATTTTTTAACTCATTTGTGCTTTAATAAAATTGTAAATATTATTGACCTGTCCTCACCAAGTTTGTTGTTGCTAACTTAATTTCTATTAGTTATTTCTAAGCAAGGTCTTCAATTTTTTTCTCTCTTAATTGCAATACAGAAAGCTATGGAATAGATGAAGGTAACAGGATTCATTTGAATAACTGCATTTGCTTGAATTGCAACTGTGGAGTGATACGGGATGTTTCAGTTCTCAGTTAACTTTTATTTTAAACTCCTGTCATTGTTTTACTTATACTGTTAAATCAATGGAATTACTCGCTAAAGTGATTTTAAAGAGGAAAACACAATTTAAACTTTGGGTTGAATGTTCTGTGTGGCCCTAATTTGATTACCTGGGAGGAAGATTTTGGATGTTTGGCTGTTGGTTTGTCCTATTGGCGATTACAAGAAAGGATTACATAATGTATGGGCTAAGGGATGAGTTCCATATTTCAGATAAGTCAAAGTACTACTGGATTAAATTCAAGGTCAATTTACTGCTCCTAATGGGCATTTTATTTCTGTATACCTCAACAGCCTACTAAATAATTGACTTTCTATAAAATGTAATACAAAATTATTATTTAAATATTACAACTTAATATTTGCAGCACATACTCAAAAGTTGATACTGTTATGTACAATCTCGATTCTAAGTCACTTAATTTTGAAATTCGTTTTAAAAAATTATTTAGACCTCTTTAAACCTCTTTAGTTCCATATATAATCTAGAAATAGAATTATCATGAAGTGGAAAACTCTTAAACCTTCAAAACATAAAAGTTTAATTAGACAGATTTTTTTTATCTCCATGTTTACAACCCATAATTATTTGTAAAATAATTGCTTTAAATAATTCTGTTTTTATACCATCATACATTAATACGTAAACTAATAGCTATTATTAATTAATCATATAATTTAATTCTTAGAGCAATTATTTAGAAAATTATCAAATAAATGCCAAATAGACCGGAGCAATTCAACGACTCTCCAGAATACCTTTAGTAGAACTTACTGTTTGAACGCTTATCAATCCTATACCTGATGCAGAAATGCCTTTTAATGTATTGTTTAAGAGAATTCCACTCTGTTTAAAGCATTTTTATATATTGATGTACTATAGATGAAACTTTTGTTCATGAGTGGTAATGAAATTATATGTATGTATCAAGTGTTATTGCTGCATTTGGATTATGGTACTTAAATTTTAATTGTGTATGGGTCATTTTTGTAGCGAGGGATTATGAGATCCAAAGAGAAAGAATAGAACTTGGACGATGTATTGGAGAAGGCCAGTTTGGAGATGTACATCAAGGAGTGTATATGAGTCCGGTAAGTGTTTATACCTCTTGTATTTCTCTGCTACATATTTTTATCTTATCTTTTTTTAAAAGCTTATTTGTTGTACACATCAACTTACAGAAATCAGAACTGTTGCCAGAATTAGCTTCTATGGGGCCAGGTCTTTCTTGATTGATTTAATCATCTGACCCACATCAGCAGCAGTAGAGTCCATGGTGGCTGTTGAGCCCATATAGCCATGTAGCCCATCTAACCCCCATAACATTTTACCCTCTAGAAGAGATCAGTGGAGAGCTGTAATTCAGTGGTTTTGAGTACTTTCGGAGTTACACAACCATCACCACAGTCAATTTTATAACATTTTCTTTATCTCAAACACCAGGTGCCCATTAGCAGTGGCCATCCATATTCTCACCCCACCTGTGTCACCATTTATCTGTCTTAGTTTACCTGTTACAGATTTCATAAAATAGAATCATGATATGTAGTCTTTTTATTACTAAATACTTCTTTGTATAGCTGTACTACCTTTTATTCATCCATTTTTCAATTGTTGGACACCAGAGATGGTCCCACATTTTGGTGATTAAAATGTTATTGTGAATATTCATGTGCATAATTTCATGTGAGTGTATGTTAACACTTCTTGTTTGCTTCCTCACATGTGTTTAATTTTTTGACAAAACCAATGTCTAGGTAGCTATTTCATTTAACCTTTCTAGCAGCTAGTACCAGCTCTTTGATAGTGTGTGTCTTTTTATCTCAGAGTGAAGATTCTTTTTTTTTTTTTTGGTCTGTCATGGAGCTTGAACTCTGGGCTTGGGTGCTGTCCCTGTGCTCTTCAGCTCAAGGCAAGCACTCTACCTCTTGGCCACAGCGCCACTTCCGGTTTTCTAGTGGTTTATTGGAGGTCAGAGTCTCACGGACTTTTCTGCCCGGGCTGGCTTTGAACCGTGATCCTCAGATCTCAGCCTCCTGAGTAGCTAGGATTACAGACGTGAGCCACCGGTGCCTGGCATCAGAGTGAAGATTTTTAAAATGACTCTTTAGAATTAAATGACACCTGTGCTCAAGAAATGGTTTCTAAAAACTGGAATATGAGCAGGTGCTCAAAGATGGCTGTATTATAGCTATATCTGCACAGATGTAGCCCTCTCTTGATACTATCTCAGAAACTGCAGACAGTGCTTTCACATCTGTTGGGTGAATGTTACTTACCACACTGTAGCTAAACAATTAGAACTTCAATTTTTTTTTTTTAATTTAGCTTTGAGAGGTTTTACTCTGTGCTTACATCAGCTTACCTAATTATATCTTTTACCTGCTGTTACTCTTTTCCCATTAAAAAAAAAATTGTTTGTAACTCACCTTTTTTTTTTCCTTTGCCTGGTCCTGGGGCTTGAACTCATAGCCTGGGAGCTGTCCCTGAGCCTCTTTGTGCTCAAGGCTAGCACTCCGCCACTTGAGCCACAGTGCCAGTTGCAGCTCTTTTCAGTAGTTTAGTGGAGATAAGGGTGTCATGGGGACTTTCCTGCCTGGGCTGGCTTCAAACCACAGTCCTCAGATCCCAGACTTGTAAGTAGCTAGGATTACAGATGTGAGCCACTGGCACCCAGCTCAATTACTCGTTCTCCTAACTGTGCTCTTTGAGGAAAATGAAGTAGAAAGAGCGCTACATCTCAATTTAGTGAAAAGACCTAAAAGTAGACATAGCTGTCTGCTTGACAGATGTGGAGACAAGGCTCTTGACTGGATTACTGAGCAGACCACCTAAGCATAGCCTCTGTCTCTGTAGTTCTGATACTATGTTGCTCTAGGCTTCGCAGAGTTAGCTGGCTCACCTCGCTCATATAGCCACAGTGTGGACTTTACTTCATTTACGTCTTTCTTTCTCTCTCTCTTTCTCTCTCTTTCTCTCCCTCCCTCCCTCTCTCCCTCCCTTTCTCCTCCCTCCCTTCCTTCCTTCCTTCCTTCCTTCCTTCCTTTAAAAATTTTACAGTGTTGGCAATCAAACCAAGGTCTTACACATGATAGGAATATGCTCTGCCACTGAGCTACAGCCCTAGTCTTCATCACTTTTTAAGAATGAATCCATTTTAGCTGTGAATGTTATACCGAGTTTTTACCAGGCACAATGGCTCATACCAATAATCCCAAGTACTTGAGAAGCAGAGATCAGGAAGATTTCAGTCTAAGGTCAGGCTGGGGAACATCTCAACTAATAAGCTAGATGTAATGTGCACATCTCTCACTTCAGCTATGTGGGAAGCATATATAGGAGGCTTACAGTCCAGGCATGCCTAAACTAAATAACTAAAGCAAAAAGATCCCAGGGGCATGGCTCAAGTAGTAGAACATCTATGTAGCAAGCATGAGCCCTGAGTTCAAACCTCAGCACAACCACAAAAATACAAAATTCTAGAGTCTTTTAAAAAATACCTTCAAGCTGGGAACTGGTAGCTCACACCTGTAATCCTAACTTCTCAGGAGATTGAGATCTGAGGATCACTATCCAAAGCCAGCCCAGGCAGGAAAGTCCATGAGACTCTTATCTCTAATAAGCCACCAGAAAACTGGAAGTGGCACTGTGGCTCAAGTGGTAGAGTGCTCACCTTGAGCTGAAGAGCTGAGGGACAGCACCCAGGCCCAGAGTTCAAGCCCTACAACTAACAACAACAACAAAAAAAATTGTGTGTGTGTGTGTGTCTTCAATCTAATGCTTACTAAATGATTATTTAATGAGTCTTAGCCCCAAAAGCGTAGCAGGACTATTTTGTTTGATTCCATTCTGATGTCTCTCATAACAGCTTTATCATAATAAATGAATAACTTCATCAACAGTAGATGAAACTGGCATTAGCAGTGAAGATAGAAGGGTAGGCCTGTGGCCCATGGGAGATAGTTGGAAGTTGAGTTTAATGTGATGATCCAGTTAACATTCCCCTGTGGCCACCCAGCTAGTTCAGTCAGTACAGCATGAGTCTTAAAATGTCTTCCTGCTTTGTAGTGAATGGGGACAGAGGGAAAAGTAGCAGTCAGTGGCTGTTCTGTTCTTCCTGGGGTGCTGGTAACAGAGTCAGCCTGCTTCTAGATGGGTGCTACAGGTGGGAACAGAACCACTTAGATCTGTGTAGACAGAGCTGCATAGATTTCTTATAAGAAAATTGGTTCTTGTGATGATGGAAGCTGACGAGTTCCAAGATCTGTTTGGAAAGCCAGAAATCCAAGAGAGCCAATGAATGGTATAGTTTAAATCCAAAAGCTGAGGAAGTAGTTCTACTTTAAGGCAGAAAAAGACCAGTGTCCGTGATCCCAACTCCCCATGTAAACAAAGCTCATGGTTGAGCCCTGCCCACATCAGACCATCTGCTCTACTCAGTCTGCCGACTTCAATGTTAAGACTCATTCAAGAACCAGATGAGGCTGTGTACACCTGTAATCCCAGAAATCCAAGCACTCTGGAGCCCGAAACCAGAGGATCATGAGTTCAGGGTCAACTTGAGTTACATAGCAAGGCTATCTGAAAACAAAACAAAGTTACAACTCATTTGAAAACATCCTCACATGGAAGTTTTCATGGGGAAAAAATACCCTCATAGAAAAATCCAGAAGAGTGCTAGTCTAAATATCTTGGTGCTTCATGACCCAATCAAATAGACACAAAAAAATTTCACCCTTGTGGTGAATCTTGTGACAAGTGGTAGCTCCGTCCCAGTTGAGAACAGTGCTCCAGCTCAGAATGAATTGCCCTGACTCACTGTTAGCGCGCCCCTCTAAAGGAAGGCGCCTGTCCCTCCTGGCAGCATGATGTGGGCAGCCACACCTTCCATCCTCTGTTGACTCCTTTTCAGGTGAGATCCATCTCTATCCCCCTTACCCTTCGTTGTCAAGCCTAAGATAACAGGGTCAGCCAGTGGGAAGGAGCTACGTGAAGCTTAGCAATGTTCAAAGCCTAAAGAGAAAGTTAAAAGTCAGGCAGCCCAGGGGCTGGGAAGGTGGCTCAGTGGTAGAATGCTTGCCTTGCATGCATGAGACCCTGGGTTCGATTCCTCAGCACCACATAAGAAAAAAAGCCGGAAGTGGCGCTGTGGCTCAAGTGGTAGAGCACTAGTCTTGAGCTGAAGAGCTGAGGGACAGCGCCCAAGCCCAGAGTTCAGGCCCCATGACCGGACCCAAAAAAAAAAAAAAAAAAGTCAGGCAGCCCAGTTAGGGGCCAATGACTCAGCCGGTCTGTCTGATGACACCACCTAGCCTCTCCCAAGGAAGGAGAAATGTACAGAGGAAGTAAGAGAAGGATTAGAGTGGCATCTGCCCACTGGCCCTCTCTCCTTCCTCCCGAGCCGAGCCGCACCCAGCCTGGTTGACTCATCCACATTTCACCGGGAGACTTAGGAGAATTTGTTTAAAAGGAATCTGGCAGTAAGTAGCACCTGCTAAACTTTTAGTTCCCCATCTGCTCTTGTTCTCTTTTTCCCTATGCTTTTCCGTCTCCATAACAGAGTGTTAGGCACCTTAGAGATAAACTGAGTAGATGGTTCTGGCAATGCTAACTTGTACTTATCCAGGGTGAGATAAGCACACAGCATTTACGATACTGTGTTAAGTTGCTCAAAATGACAAGTCATTTCTCATATTGGAAGCTTTTTGAAGAAAAGAAACATCTTGGCTTCTAAACACATTCTTGTTTTTTCTATTACTTTGCTCACCACACCTTCCTTGTTTCCTTTACCATTTTCTCCTTTTTTTCCAGCCTTTTCATTACTGTAGAGCTTCAGTCCTTGAACTTTGTCTCTGTTGTCTTTGTTGATAATTTTATGCAATCATATGGATTAGTTTCCTTCCAGAGTCCCTCATCCAGCTCAGATTTCCCTGAACTTAGTCACACTGTCCTCCTACTCTCCCCTGCCCCTAACCATCTTTCCATTTCTCTGGCCACAGACCTGACCTTCACTCTTTCTCTTACCAGCCCACCAAAAGTTGTCCAACCTTAGGAATGTATCCAGCTCAGCCCTTCCTGGCTGCACCACTACCACACTTGGCCAGAGCCTCTCAACTTCAGTGAGAGCTCCCTGTGTCTGATCTTGTCCCCAGCAGCCCAATCAGAGCAGTTCTTCTGACCTTAGATCAGACCCTGAATCCTGACACAGACCACACCGTGGGTCCCCATTCTACCTAGAGTAGAAACTATCCCTTCATTTTAGCCTGGAAAGTCCCTCTTCCCCTTGGACTCAATGCTTTCGGTTCCTGTGTGCTCTGTTCCATCCTCCTCAGTGATCACACATATCCTTCCTCCAGCCAGGAGTAATGGTCCTGCTCCGTCGTGGAGCCAGCTCCCTTTCCTCCAGATCTTTGCAGTGTAGCAGCCACCATGCCATCTCTATGTCCTGGTTTACTTCTCTGTCTCTGATACCACTGTTCCTCACTGGAGTGCAGGCTGGGCATGAGCAGAGACTGCTGTCTGATGTTGACTGGTGTATCCTGGTTACTTGTAGTAATGCCTGCCAGAGGAGCAGATAAGTATTCAACCTGTGCCTTGTGAATAAATGATTTTTCACATGCATGTTCATTTTTCTCTGGGGATTTTACATGTGTGTATGATTCTGTAATTTCCCTAACACAGGAGAACCCAGCTTTGGCGGTTGCAATTAAAACATGTAAGAACTGTACTTCGGACAGCGTGAGAGAGAAATTCCTTCAAGAAGCCTGTAAGTTTCTAGAGATTTCTATGGAATTCCATTTGCCTTTCTTTCTGTAAAGTCCAAACTATCTCTGAGGAAGTAAGAAAAATCATGTTTCTACTTTCATGAGATAGCTACATTTGTCATTTTGCCTTCCAAGTTAATGTCTGAATTTCAATGGGCAGGATTGTGCAGATTTTCCTCAGTAAATGTGATGCTTTATATATGAAAGTGGATGATAGCCTCTCCCTTCATGGTACCAGTATGTCTTTCAGTGTACTCGGTACATATGGAGAAATGATCGTGCCCCAAATACTGCCAGGCCTTGCAAATCCAGATAGACATGATCCCTGCTTGCTGGATCTCATAGACCAGACTGCTGATTAGTTAGAACTTCACTACCCACCTGGTTTGCCGCCTTATCCTACTACATAATCTGAAAGACTCACCAAAAATTGACCTCAGAGGAGACCCCTCTAGTGGCTTCCAGAGTGACTTTAACTGCAAGTGATTTCCCTTACCTATATCCCCTCTAGTCCCTGGCTTGTATATGCCATAATGAAGCTGCCTTGAACGAGTTGTGTATGACTGGTCTTTTCTCATGAAAGTAAATCATGGAGAGCAAGGGACTTGTCCATCTTGTACACACCAAGCACATTCTTCTCTGCCTTATGCTGTGGTGATGATGATAATGAATCTGATGATGATTTGATCCCTCTTCCTTTCACAAGGTATTTCCCTGCTTCTTTAAAACAGAGAACCCTTTTCTGACTACCATCCCTATGGTAGGTCTCCCTTTGGCATTCCCTGCCATGGCACAAGTATCTGTGATCAAATATGGAACACTGTTGACATGTAATTATTGTTTGTTGTTCCCCCAAGATTTAAGCTTCGTACAGTCAAGGGCATGTCTGCTTTGCTTATTACCTGTATCCCATGGCCAGCAGAGGGCTTAACCCGTGAGAAGTATTTGTTGTTCATTATATGGCCATCCAATGGATGTTTTCTATTTCCATGTTAGTAAAGATTTCCATCTAAACATCCTTTAAATTAATATTAACTAAATCATATTCTGACCCCCATCAATTAAGTCTTAAGTACATCTTTAATCCTGTTCCTGAGGCTCTGCCTCAAGTATAAGAAAAAGTCTGGCCAGTGGCTTCTGTCTCAACTAACTCATTTCTACAGAGTGCTAGAGCCAAGAACATAGACTACTCAGTTATCAGCACTTAGCCCTCTGTCAGCCTTACCTTTGGTGGGCTCTTGTGCGTTACGTATTTTCAAAAATGCAAATTTTAGGGCTGGGAAGGTGGCTTAGTAGTAGAGCTCTTGCCTTGCATGCATGAGGCCCTGGGTTCGATTCCTTAGCACCACAGCAGAAAAAAAAAAGCCGGAAGTGGTGCTGTGGCTCAAGTGGTAGAGTGCTAGCCTTGAGCTGAAGAGCTGAGGGACAGCACCCAGGCCCAGAGTTCAGGCTCACGACTGGACTCCCCCCCTCCCCCCCCCCCCCGCCCCGCAAAAATGCAAATTCTAAAAATCACTTACCTTTTCCTAAAGTTATCTGAACAATTATTGTTTAAAGCATTTTTTTTTAATTTTATTTTATTTGAGAGCATACTGTACAGAGGGGTTACAATTACATGGGCAGGATAATGCATACATTTCTTACCAAGCATTGCAGCCTCCTCCTTTGTTTACCCTTCACTTCCCTTCCCAGTGTTTAAAGCATTTTTAGGAGATCACTACAGAAATCATCCATAGTTTGTTTTGTTTTGTTTTTTAATTTGGTACTGGAGATTAAACCCCAATTTTTTTTTTAACTTTGTCAATCATGGGGCTTGAACTCAGGGCCTGGGTACTGTCCCTAAGCTCTTGTGCTCAAGCCTAGCACTCAACTATTTTGAGCGGTAGCTTGGCTTCCAGTTTTCTAATGGTTAATTAGAGATAAGAGTCCCATGAACTTTTCTACCTGGGCTATCTTTGAACCATGATCCTCAGATCTCAGTCTCCTGAGTAGCTAGGATTACAGGAGTGAGCCACCAGTGCCTGGCTAAACCCAAAATTTTTAATTGCTAGATAAGCACTATACCACTTGATTTACTCCTCCAGCCCACTTATTGTATAATATGAGTAGTAAAATTAAGCTAATCTTTTCTTCCATGGAAGGGTTGCTCAATTGCTACTTCAGAGAAATATGACAGATGTAGTATGTCTGTACTCTGTAAGGCTTTAGTGAGCAATGTGTAAAATGGAAGAGATATCCTAGGCTAGGGAGTGTCAAACTCCTGTAGAGGGCCAGATAGTGGATATTTATGGCTGTTAGACTAGTTTCTGTCCCAGTTATGTAGCTATGTCATTGTGAAAACCATCTACAGACAGTACAAAGGAGATGGACAGAGCTAGGTTCCAGTAAAATACCATTTGTAAAGGTAGGCTGCATGCCGCGGACCGGGTTCTGTCGGGATGACGGAGGATACCTAGGGGAGGAACCTGGAATAGGATGGGGAGATGGCAAACAGACAACTCACACACATTAGGAGTGGATGCTGAGTGCTGAGTGCGATTTAATGCAGAGGATAACAAACTTTTATAACAGAAGCCTTCATAAGAAAGGGGCAAAAGGTTACACAATCTTACTGCAAGGCTTCGTTCTTGGATGGTCACCAGCTGGTCGCCTGAAAGGGCAAAAGTTTACACAATCTTGCTGCAGGGCTTCATTCTTAGGTGGTCACCAGCTGGTCGCCTGAAAGGCACTTGTTTCCGGCTTATCTCTAAGAAATATAATGGGTTTCGATGTTTGTCACCAACTAACCATTACCTTATTTCTATAGAGGCCTTAATTATCCCAAAAGATTTTTCCTGTTCCTTCTTTAATAGTAAGGTCACGGAGGCCTAGATCTAGCAAGTCTCAGTAAATGAGAGTACCAGGAAGTTCTTTCTCCTAAGTAGTTATCTCAGCAATTGCCATACATTCCTTCTGTTCTAGCCGCGCCTACAGCTTCTTGTAAATTTCTTACAATTCCTTCTGCTGGAGTGACTTTGTGAAACCCCCAATACTTTTATATTTGCTTATAACTTGTCTACTAGCCTTCATAAGAGGGGTTTTAGGTTAGCACTTAACTCTGGTGAGTTAGTCATATTTTTTAAGACACTCATCAGATATTGGAGTCGTCAACACTCTTAAGAAAGAGCTTTGAATAAGGGAACGTTGACAATGAGTAAGTACAATGAACAGCAGAAACAGTAAAAGATTAATAGGCACTCTTATGAGGAAAAGAAAGGCAGAAACACATCTTTCCGAGGGGCTTGCCAGCCTTTTTCCAGGAGTAGGCCTCTTAGAAACCTTATTCTCCAAGGTAGACTTCGGTGAAGTCCCAAAACTTGGAGATAGGTTTCTGTAAAGCCCCATTCTCTGAGGTAGACTTCGGTGAAGTCCCAGAACTCAGAGATAGGTCTCTGAAGCCCCTATCTTGGTCTGATAGATGGTTTCCCATGCTAAGCAGACTCCACTGGAGTCGGCGTGGCAGCTGCAACCTCTGAACTTCCTTCCCTGGGTAATGAATAAGCTACACCCTGAGTATCATGAGCCACGATATGATAAGGACACCTGAACACCCATGTTCATTGCTGCACTATTCACAATAGCCAAGATATGGAAACAGCCCAGGTGCCCCACAAGAAATGAGTAGATCAAAAAATGTGGCAACTTTATACACAATGGCACTTTACACAGCCATTACAATGAATAAAATGTCATTTGCAGGGAAATGGATAGAACTAAAACAAATCATGTTAAGTAAGGTAAGCCAAGCTAATAAAGACAAACAGTGCATAGTCTCTTTGATATGCAGAAATTAGGTCTAAAATGCACTGGGATATGACAAATTACACAGGATTCTAGATACTCGCATAGAGTGAGACCAAAAGAGGATACTCTTAGGAGAGAAACACAAAAGCACAATGCCTAAATGCCTTTTCATAGCTATATAAAATAATATACATACTGAAATGAACTTGAAGATACGGAAACAAAAGACCTCTTTTTCCCCTTCTTTTTTTAGTTTTTTTATGATTCTGTTTTCTTTATCTCATGTATGGTATATTCAAGTGTACATCTTCAGAAGGGCTTGGAGGAGGGTATAGCACTCGAGGAAAAAGAGTGTAAAAGTACAGCAATGGAGCTCAGTGGACACCGATGAAAGGAAACTGTACAACTTGTAGTTGGAGATGGGAGGGAGAGACTGGGAGAGTATGAGGGAAGGAAAGACACTGTATGAAAGGAAATATACTCATTACCTGACTCATGTAATTGTAATAACATTGTACAGCACCTCTATAGTAGCAATGAAGTAAATTTAAAAAAAAAAAAAACTTTAAAAAAATAGTCTGGACAGGCACCAGTGGCTCACACCTGTAATCCTAGCTACTCAGGAGGCTGTGTTCTGAGGATCAAGGTTCAAAGCCATCCCGGGCAGGAAAGGCCATGAGACTCTTAGCTCTAACTAACCCTCAGAAAACCAAAAGTGGTGCTGTGGCTCAAGTGGTAGAGCACTCGTCTTGAGAAAAGAGCTCAGGGACTGTGCCCTTGAGCTTGCCTTGAGCTGAAGAGCCGAGGGACAGTGCCCAGGCCTAGAGTTCAACCCCATGACCAACCAAAAAAAAAAAAAAAGTCTGTACTTTCCTAAGATTGCCAGGTCAACATGGATAGTTTCCCAGTGGCTGCTAAACTTTACTTTTCATCCTTTGCTTTGTAGTATTTGAAGTAATTACTTGAGAGTAAATTAAAAATCTTAATGGGTATATGTAAGGATCACCTAAAACCCAAAGTCAGGCTGGGCGCCAGTAGCTCACACCTGTAATCCTAGCTACTTTGGAGGCTGTGGTCTGAGGATTGTGGTTTCAAGCCAGCCCAGGAGGGAAAGTCTTTGAGACTCTTATATCTCTATTTACCCACCAGAAAAACTGCAAGTAGAGCTGTAGCTCAAAGTGGTAAAGCACTCGTCTTGAGAAAAGAGCTCAGGGACTGTGCCCAGGCCCTTAGTTCAAGCCCCATGACCACAAAAAAATAAAATAAAAAGTCAGTAGTTACTCATGGTAAATCGAAAATGAATGGTGGAAAAATCTATCTAAAGATCCCTTATTACTAGCCAGTCTCCAGTGGCTCACACCTATAATCTAGCAACTCAGGAGGCTATGATCTGAGGACTACAGTTCAAAGCCAGCCCAGGCAAGAAAGTCTGTAAGACTCATCTCCAATTAACCACTAGAAAACTGAAAGTGGCACTTTGGCTCAAAGTGGTAGAGACAAGCCTTGAGCAAAAGAGGTCAGGGGCAGTGCCCAGGCCTTTAGTTCAAGCCCAATGACCAAGCAAAAACAAAACAAAACAAAAAAACAGAAAACAGATTACCTAAACAATGACATGAGCCAGACAAGATGAAAGGATGACATGATATGCTTCGGATTGTGGACCATTTTTATATTACCTGTTAAAGCAAAAATATCATAACAGGCTGTCATGTCTGCCTCTTGGAATATATGGAATATATTTTTTGCTTCACACAAAACATAAGGGGTTTGCATTACATAAAGTGAAAGTGAGGCAACTTCCAGAGCATCAGTAGGTCTGTGGTATCCCAATAAGAGCAGCAGAAATGTATATCGAGGCTCACCTGGCTCTGGGTCTCAACTACAGTGGCTGCACATTTTAGTAACTCAGTAATGAGACAGAGACACCAGGGGAATCTGAACATGACCTTCAAGGGACCATCACTTGAATGTGATTGTAGACTTCTTTCCTGAACACAGTAGACAGGAAGAACATAAGGTTCATAAATCAGTAATTAGTTGAGAACAATGGTATACACCTATAATTCCAGAGCTGTAGAGGCTGAGGCAGGAGAACCACAGGTTCAAGGCCAGCCTAGCTACATAATGAGACTTCTAGAGAGAATGAGAGAGAAAGAGAATTCAAGAACAAGTTGTTAACACACAAGGTTAGCCCTGTGGAGACTTTGTACTCAGTGCCACATTCAGACCTGTTTTTGCTCCTAAGTGGGCACAACTTGGGCACAAAATCGCTTAGTTATAAGTGAATCTGAAAGTTGTTATACCAAAGAGAATCTTAAGAGGTGAATTCTCCAGTATATGTAAAATTTTAACGTTATTTCCCCCACACACACTGAAAAGAAATATGCATGTTATCATTTTCCTACAACTTTGGAATACTAAAATGCATGAATAGCTTGACAGGACATGTACTAATATTTTCTGGCCCCTTTCAAAGTCTTTTTTTTTCCACAACATTTAGATATCAGCTACTTTAAAACTGATCATTTAAAAAATTACTGCTTTTATGGTAATGTCCTTGCTTGACAATAATGATAAGGTTTTTTCATGTTAAGTCTGTGAAATTTAGTATTTTTATACCCATTGGAGTATGTCATTTTTTAAATTACTCACAGGGTGTTGGAGGCAGCCTGTATTTCTGTGAAATTTGAACTCTGAGCCCCCATGTAGTTACACTTGTGTATATGGTGCCATTGGGCGGGCAGGCACCAGCATGCAGCAGCCACGCAGCATTCTGTTTCTCTTTCACAGATGTCCTCACAGCTGTCCCGGTCCTTGAAACAGCCGGTTATGTGCAGAGGGACAAGGCCACAGTGGTGTGAGCAGATGCTAGCAGCGTGGGGTTAAGATAGAAGGCTTCCCACCAGGAAGTTGGAGTTCATTCTTGCTCCTCCAGCAGTGGTTTGCATTAGCATGTTACCTAAATGAACTGTACAATCCCACTTGATTAGATTTCTACAGGAAAACTAGCCAGGGTCAGCTTTGCCAACAGAAGGAAAGAATGGGTTTTCTTAACCCTTTACCTTGTGTTCTGCCTGGCCTACCTGGGTTTGCTATTGTGTGGTTGTCTTGCATCCTAGCAACAGAATATGCTGGGCCAATTTGTGCCCCGTAAGAGCAGGCTTAACTTACAACATTGAACACAGAGCTCATTGAACATCAGCCTTGTGTTAATTGAACTAGCCGTCAGAGCTACAGAAGAATTTTCAAATGACTAACTGGAGACAACTTTTTTCCCTAGTAACAATGCGTCAGTTTGATCATCCTCATATTGTGAAGCTGATTGGAGTCATCACAGAGAATCCTGTCTGGATAATCATGGAGCTGTGCACCCTGGGAGAGGTACTGAGATCTCATTTCGTTTGTGCTTGGTTTTTGATAGCCTTTGCCTGAGAACCAGAAGTACACAGACTACATCATAATGGGTTCTCAACAGAGTTCTCATTAAAGATTATGTGTGCTTTTGATTTAAAGAGTATGGAAATAAATACCTTCGTTGAGCTGGGTGCAGTAGCACATGTCTATAGTCTCAGCTACTGCAGGTGTTGAGGGAAGTAAATCACTTGAGCCTAAGAATTCAGGGTGTGTGTGTGTGTGTGTGTGTGTGTGTGTGTGTGTGTGTGTGTGTGTGTGTGTGTGTGTGTGTGTGTGTGTGTGTGTGTGTGTGTGTGTCAGGGTGTGTGTGTCAGGGTGTGTGTGTGTGTGTGTGTGTTCATCATTACATTTCCAGACAATCCCCTCCACAATGTCTTTCCCATAGGCCTTATTCAGGACAGGTTTTGTGGGTTTTTGTTTCTCTCACTCTTTGGTACCATTGCCTAAATAATTAGCCCAGTGATTTGAGGATGAAAGAAACACTTTTAGTGGAATATGGGTAGATTAATGGTGAATTGAGGTAAACCTAAACATTTCTTCATTTTTTTGAGAATTCACTTGCAACATCTTTCAGACTAGTTGGTATTCGTCATGGTTTCTTTGAAAAATATGAGCAACAGGAGTGTCTCCTGTCCTTTTAGACATCCTCCAGAGCATAGAAACCAGTGAGTCATCCTGTCACCTGGAAACTTGCTAGCAATGCAGATCTGCAGATTTGCAAATCCAGGGCCAATCCCTGCCCGTTGAGTCAACCCCCAGCAGGGAGATGACCAGGATTCCCCTTTCGCCATCTCCCTCTGCCCTATGTTTCCAAGTCAAATGGAGGGATGGCATACATTTTTTTGTTCAATAAATTTGTATGCCTTTTTTTCCCATGTTAACATCTAGCTGAACTAATGGTATCAGTAGGAGTCAGGACTATTTAAGCCCAGTGGGGTAAACACTTGACCTAGGACCATTTTATTCTTTGCATCAAAATCCTCAAGGAGACAGAAGGGCAGATTTCTTGCTTCTCCTTCCTTAATTCCCACCCTAAACACTTTCCCTAAGGCAGCAAGGTTTGCAGTGGTGGCGGATGGGCTATGTGTGTGTTAACGTTTGTTTGAATAGAAAATAGGTCTCTTTGTTCTCTGTTATTTAGTAATATTTCATATTGTGCTTTAATTCATTCCCTTGAGAGATATCTTTATTTTCTTAAAAATCTGCTCATAGTCACAAATGTTTTTATATTAGGATTTAAAACATGTCACTGTAATTTCTGAGTTACAATATTGCATCAGTTATACTTTTTTAAGTAAGGGAGAATCGAAGCCATCTTCCTGTAATAAAAAATGCATTTGAAAATGCTCACATTGCTGTTTTATGTGGCATTCTTGTTTTGATTTCTATTGTCTGTCTCTGAGTTATTCTCTTTTGTTTTGACCCTTGTTCTAAAAGCTGAGATCATTTTTGCAAGTAAGGAAGTACAGCTTGGATCTGGCATCTTTGATCCTGTATGCTTATCAACTTAGTACAGCACTTGCGTATCTGGAGAGCAAAAGATTTGTACACAGGTAAGACCCAGTCATGAGGCTGCTAAGTTGCTTTCTAAGCAGAAGTAGTAGATGAAAAACAGGCAAGGAAAAATTTCTAACTATACCCCATAACCTTTGAACCATTTAAATCTCTAGTGCCTAGAAAGTCATTTGTCCTTTCAGACTGAAGTACATGGTACATGAACAAGCAGTGAAAGGGTTTGGGGATGCATTTATTCCACCCACGAATACAGTCAAGCACCTATACCTAGCTTGAGCAGTGAATATGTGGAAATAGGAAACTCTTCTGAGATTTTCAGGATATCTCTTTATTTTAAAATGACATCTATTGGCATTCTGCAGAATTTCTCTTTGTAATTTTCAGCTCTGTAGTTTGAATCCACATGAATTTGTTTGCTAGATACAGTGTTAGGAGTTAAGTTCTATTTATTTAATGAGATCTCTGATAATGGCACAATTCCAATTTCAGTTGTGTACTATTGTTTGTCAGTTTAATGTAGTGGATAATATGACAGGTAATTTTGTAAGTATTTTCCTAATTTGAGAATGTATTTTTCCATCATTCAAAGAAATATCAATATTTTTATGTGTGCATATACATATGTATGTATATGTATTGTACGTGTGTATGTATTTATGGGGTTGTTTTTATTATGTTTATTGTCCTCAATTTTTTATTAGGGACATTGCTGCTCGGAATGTTCTGGTATCCTCAAATGATTGTGTAAAATTAGGAGACTTTGGCTTATCGCGATATATGGAAGACAGTACTTATTACAAAGGTAAGAAATAGGTTCCAGACCTTCACTGTGTTTTTTTAAAAGGTATTTTCCAGCTGGGTGCTACTGGTGGCTCATGCTTGTAATCCTGGCTACTCAGGAGGCTGTAAGACGCTTATCTCTAATTAATCACAGAAAAAATGGAAGTGGTGCTGTAGCTCAATGTTAGAATGTGAGCCTTCAGAAAAAAAAAAGAAAACTTAGAGATAGCACCTGGCCAAGAGTTAAAGCCCCAGGAATGGCCCACAAAAACGGTATTTTTCTAATGTGCTTGACTGAGATATGGAACCAATTCAGTGGAGGAAAAACGGTGGTCTGTTGACACACAGTGCTGGGGGAGTTGGATAGCTTCAACCCCAGTCACCCCAAAGAAATTCAAGATGGATCTATACAACTATACAACTTTTAGAAGAAAAAAAAACATAGTTAATGTTTACAGTCTAGATCTTTGCCAGGAGGTCTGTAGGTTGGTTTGGCACTAAAAACAAGGATGTAGAAGCAGCAAAATATGATTAGAATTAAACATTCTTATTCTACAAAAGACTCCTGGAAGGGTGAAAGGTCAAGGTACAAATTAGGAGGAGATAGTTTGCTAACTACATGAGGACAGATGTATGAAGGATTGACCATAGTAAGTGACAAGGCACAGGAACATGAGCAGAAGATGAACAGAAAAAATATGTGAGACACGTGAAGATGCTCAATATCTTTATCACTGAAAAATGCAAATTATACAACATCAAGATGATACTTACAACCCCATCAGGACTATTAAATCCATCTATTTACTAAGATTAAAAAAAATAGTGACAACACTCATTGCCATAAAGACACAGAGAAACTAAATTTTCCATTATTTATTGATGGCAATAGAGCCAAAAAAGCTCAGCAAAATCTTAAAAACTAAATATACAGCTACCATACAACATAGCAGTTGGACTCCTGGGCATTGATCCCAGATCATGTTTGTATAACACGTTCATACAGTTTCAGTTGTAATAGCCAAAAAGTACAGTCAGGAGCTGGGGATCTAGCTCAGTAATAAAGGGCTTGCTTAGTATGCATGAGGCCCTGCTCTGATTCTCACCACAAGAAAAAGGAAGAAAACAAAAACAGTGCTGTTAACCCAAGGCTCTTCAGCTAATAGATACAAAAACCTCATCACTGTTCTCTTTCAATATTCTATCTGCCTTTCATAGCTTATTACTGTTTAAACCATGATTGTTTGATATTTGAAAAGAATATATAATAGATAAAAAGAATTGTTTGGTTGATAGTTTTTGCTATTTACTCATTTAACTTAGAAGCTCATAATCAGGCGCTAGTGGCTTATGCCTGTAATCCTAGCTACTCAGGAGGCTGAGATCTGAGGATTCCAGTTCAAAGCCAGCCTTCGGCAAAAAAAAGTCCCCATGAGACTCTTATCTCCAATTAACCACCAGAAAATGGAAAGTGGCACTGTGGCTTAAAGTGGTAGAGCATTAGCCTTGAACAGAAGAGCTCGGGACAATACCCAGGCCCCAAGTTCAAGCTCCACAAGAGACAAAAGAAACAAGAAAGATTTTATCCTAGTGAACTGAAATCTTACAATACAGTGCTGTCTACTTACCCTCCTGCCTGGTGGTTTATGCCTTCTGGCTCACATCTCACTTTGGGGAGGGCAGGACTTCAGTGTCTCATCCTCTACCCAGCTTCACCACTCACCCATCCAAACACCTCACAGAGAATCAAGGTTTAGAGGGTCAGATAGCTGGAGCTTTTTAGTTTAATACTGAAAGTCTCAGCAAGCTCTATAAGGTTCTCAAGCAGATAACAGGGAAAATTTATCTTCTAGCTTCCAAAGGAAAATTGCCTATAAAATGGATGGCTCCAGAGTCAATCAATTTTCGACGGTTTACCTCAGCTAGTGACGTATGGATGTTTGGTGAGTATTTTATTTTTAAGTTTTGTATTTAAAAAGAAAACTACATTTCACGTATCCTTTAAAATAAAGAACATTTTCTTGTCAGAGTAGGTAGACTGTTGCCTTCCCAAGCTTGACCCCTGCCCTCATTGGGAGGTCACTAACAAGTAGTTATAGAGCAAAGGTTATGCACCAGCTTCAGGTGTAATTCTCTGATACTCTATCTCACTTTCACAGCCTGTCAAAAATTCGCTTTTGGTCCCTTTGCCTGCCTCCTCTTCCCCACAGGGAGATGCCTTATCTGTTTTCTTTTATCTCTCTTCCCTCCATTACCATCACACTGAATGTGGACACTTCATGTTCTTCTGGCTATGTGACAGCTCCTTTAGCCTGGAGGATCTATACTGCTCCGTCCGTCTCCTTGTTCTGAAATAGGCTTGTCTCAAGGCTTGGTTATCAATCCTTTGTCTTCTATAACTTCTCTTTCTTTGATGTTTGGTCTGTCTCTTCCTTTCCTCCAAAGTCATCCTGCTGCTACTCTCTGGTGTAAAAGTGTGTTTCTAATTCATCTACACTATGCATGTACACTGCCTTTATCCCAGTGACTTGCTCTGTTGATGTGGAGCACTGCTGCCTCTTCTTGCCTGATGTTATTTCTACCCTGCTATCTCGTTCCTACACCCAGTCCTTCAGTGCAATCCCATCTAAGGTTAAAATCCATCTAAGTTCCCTGAAGGCTAACATTGCAGATAACCAGATACTGACCCCTCAAGAAATGTACTAATAGTAACCTCTCTGTACATAGCCTTTATAATAACAATTAAAACTGTTTACTGGGGTTGGGAAGATGGCTCAGTGGTAGAATGCTTGCCTTGCATGCATGAGGCCCTGGGTTCAATTCCTCAGCACCACATAAGCAAAAAGAAAAAAGCCGGAAGTGGCGCTGTGGCTCAAGTGGTAGAGCGCTAGCCTTGAGCTGAAGAGCTGAGAAACAGCACCCAGGCCCAGAGTTCAGGCCCCATGACTGGACTAAAAAAAACCAACAAAAAAAAACTATTTACCAAAAAAATAAATGGGGCTTGGAATGTGGCCCAGCATGCATAAAGCCCAGAGTTCAATTCCTCAGTACCACATAAACAGAAAAAGCTGGAAGTGGCACTGTGGTTCAAGTGGTAGAGTGCTTGTCTTGAGCACAGAAAGGCTCAGGGACAGTACCCAGGCCCTGAGTTCAAGCCCCAGGACTGGCAAAATAAAATAAAATAAATGTAGTTGGGTGTCAGTGGCTCATGCCTGTAATCTTAGCTACTCAGGAGACTGAGATCTGAGGATCCAGATTCAAAGTCAGCCTAGAAAGGAAAATCCATGACATTCTTATCTCCAATTAATCACAGAAAAAAGCTGGAAGTGGCTCTGAGACTCAAGTGGTAGAGTGTTAGCCTTGAGTACAAGGGGCCCAGGGACAGTGACCAAGCCCCCAGTTCAAGCCCTTAGGACCCTCAGGAAAAAAAAAAAAAGAAAGGTAACTAAGTATTGTGTATGTCACCTTTATAATAACAATAAAAACCAACTTAGAGAATTAGGAAAGACCTTGAAGACCATGTGATTTGGATACAAATCCAAACCACAGTTGCTAGCTGGGTAAATCATAGGACAAGTTAATTTGCCTTCTCAAGGAAACTTGAGAAACTTGATTCAGAAATCCCTACATTTTCACATTTTAACATTTCCAAAACTGAGGAATAACTTTATAGTTGATACTAATTGGGACATTTTTAAAATACAGTTTTCCTTACCCAAATTCATGTGAACTTTGTAAGTTTTGCTCATATTGCTACTTTCATAGCCAAATGAGTTTTTTGTTTTTGTTTTTTTTTTTTTAAAAACTTCTTTGGCTGGGCGCTGGTGGCTCACGCCTGTCATCCTAGCTACTCAGGAGGCTGAGATCTGAAGATCGAGGTTCAAAGCCAGCCCGGGCAGGAGAGACTGTGAGACTCCTATCTCCAATAAACCACCAGAAAACCAGAAGTGGCGCTGTAGCTCAAGTGGTAGAGCGCTCACCTTGAGCTGAAGAGCTGAGGGACAGCGCCCAGGCCCAGAGTTCAAGCCCCACGACTGACAAAAAAAAAAAACAAAACTTCTTTGTAATAATAGATTAAAAAATTAACCATAAGCTGGGTGCTGGTGGCTCACACCTGTAATCCTAGCTACTCAGGAGGCCGAGATCTGAGGATCACGGTTCAAAGCCAGCCTGGGCAAGAAAGCCTGTGAGACTTTTTTTTTTTTTGTCAGTCGTGGGGCTTGAACTCTGGGCCTGGATGCTGTCCCTGCACTCTTCAGCTCAAGGCAAGCACTCTACCTGTGAGACTCTTATCTCCAATAAACCACTAGAAAACCAGAAGTGGCACTGTGGCTCAAGCAGTAGAGCTCTTGCCTTGAGCTGAAGAGCTGAGCGACAGTGCCCAGGCCCGGAGTTTAAGCCCCATGACCAATAAAATAACCATAGTAAGAAAAAAATTATACCATAAATTGGCACCATTCCACCGTCCATTTTGTCCTGTAAAATAATGCTTACAATCAGGGGCATCTTAGATGCGGTGTAGAGTACAGAATAAATGATAGAAGTTCAAACCAATATTCAAACAGTACTAGATATAGAGGGAGAGAAGAGGGCAAGAAAAAAGAAAGAGGCCATTGCAAAGACTAAGGGTCTTACAGGGTGTTTTGTTTTGTTGATATATGGTGCAGGGCATTGAACTCAGGGCCGTAAACTTTGTAGACAGGCACACTACTTCTTGAGCCTTGTACCTCCTATCTCTTTATTCCTCATTATTTTTTTGAATAGGTCTCAAGTGTGTGTCTATGCTGGTCTGGGAGCAGTCTTCCCAAGTCAGCCTTCCATGCAGCTTAGGATGGAAAGGAATCTTGAAAACTCCTGCCCAGTCTGGCCTCAAACTATAATCCTCCCAGTCTCAGTCTCCCAAGTAGCCAAGTTTACAGGTTTCATTAAGCTCAGGAGAGGTAATACCTAGTGTTACCGTTAGTGTTGTGCATGAGTCCTGGTTAGGAAAGCAGCACCAAGGCATTTTTGTTGGTGTATTACTGGGTTGGGATGTGTGTGTGTTGTGTCAGACTCTTCAAATTTATATTAAAACTTTTGGATTGGGCTGGGAATGTGGCTTAGTGGTAGAGTGCTTGCTTAGCACACATGAAGCCCTGGGTTTGATTCCTTAGTACCATATGTGCAGGAAAATCTGGAAGTGGTGCTGTGGCTCAAGTGGTAGAGTGCTAGCCATGAGCAAAAGAAGCTCAGGGACAGTGCCCAGGCCCTGAGTTCAAGTACCAGGACTGGGCCGGGGGGGCAAGGAGACAGGGGACCTTCTGGATCTTGGATCAGTTTTAGAATCAAATGCCTACATTGCATTAGCATGTAATACATAGCTCATTCTATAAAGATACAGTTCCTTCTTGGGGCATCATTTGTACAGTGTATTCTATGTTAGAAGTAGATTTAAAAGGACAATTAATTTCCTGGAGGAGAGGCAGGAAGTAGAGTTCCAGAAGAACTACAAAGGCACAGCACAGAGTGTAATGTCAGCCACAGCATGCCATGCAGGAGGCAGAAGCGAGAGCGTGCTGGAAAGAAAACCCCAGCACTAGCAGAAAGCTTTCCCCTCTTTCCTTGCATTACTCATTGTAATCCTGTTGTGTTTGTCTAAAGTTGAGTTCTTTGAGACTTGGGGAAGGTGAAGGGAAAGTGCTTGATTTCCCAAGGTAGCATCAAGTGTGTTTGGTTGTTTGTGGACAAGATAGCCAGAGTTGGGGCACTTTTTTGTTTTTTGTTTTTTTTATCACACGTTTGCTGCAGGAAGGCAGTGAGTGTCGGGAAGGTAAAGTGACAGTAGTGCTGTCGTGTATCTCCACAAGGAACCTGAACTGTCTAAAGTCTTCAGCTTCCGGGTTTTGATTAGCCCTCAGGTCAGCTGCCGTAGTATCTCCTCCTCGGGACATATCTAAAAGTCACTTGTGGTTTTTGGCACTGATCCATCAAACTAACTAGTGGGCTACTTCATAAGTGAGATTTTCAGAAATAGACTACTAAAAACAATTATGATTTTATATGACTTTTTCCTGATAATAATTCAACACTCCATTCTTCACACTGTGTAAACTAATGATTGTTCTTGTGCCTGGAGTTCATTGAGTGCTGCTGTGGCTCGCTGAGCGTCCCAGATCTTTCCGCTGGTTCTCTGGTCCTGAAACCTGGTAGACTATCTTCGTGCTGAGCTCATTGCTCTGTTTTCATTCCCACTCCACAGGTGTATGTATGTGGGAGATACTGATGCATGGTGTGAAGCCCTTTCAAGGAGTGAAGAACAATGATGTGATCGGTCGAATTGAAAATGGGGAAAGATTACCAATGCCTCCAAATTGTCCTCCTACCCTCTACAGCCTTATGACGAAATGCTGGGCTTATGACCCCAGCAGGCGGCCCAGGTTTACTGAACTTAAAGCTCAGCTCAGGTAGGAGTGGGGTGGAAGGGGTCTGGGGCGGGGGCAGATTTTGCTGCTTCTCCTTCGCAGCTGTAGCACTTTAAGTTGGTTTTGTTAGTTCATCTAAGGCTGAATTGTTTCCTCTGCAGTTACTTTGACATTGATTTACATTTCTCTATACCTTGTCCAGAAACTTTAGTGAATTCAGTCTTAAAATCTTACTCCCTGACTCTGACTTAGCATGGCTTCCATTCTGTCCCTGCTGCCCTCCCCATTCTCATACCAGGCCTTCTGGTACCGTGTCCCAGCAGTACCTAAGTGTGTCATCCTCCTAGTCCCTCTCACCACCTTTCCACACACCATGTTCTCTCTCCACTTTTGCCACCTGTCCAATCTTCAGAATCCAGCTCAGCTATTCCCTCCTTTATGACCCTTTCCAAGTTAACCCTCTTCCCCAATGAGACAACCCCTCTCTAGTACCTTTTAAGCACTTCCACTATCCTATTACAAGCATCTGTTGCTTGTTCAAGTGCCAGTTTATGGCTCCCATTTTGGGCAAGACACTGCCACCAATAGCTCCCAGTCACTTGGAGGATCATGGTCCCCATGGGAACCACTTTGTGGTAAGCCCCTCAGAGAAGTGTCTATATAGTCTACCTGCTGCCTGGCCTGGGAACATCTGGGTTGCTTGTCTGTCTCCCTGACTCACCTCAGTGATGGCCATCACCATGCCCCACGTGTCACCTGCCAAGCCACATTTGGACCTAGGCATCACGTAACTACCCAATGAACACTTGTTGAATTCGATTCTAGATTTAGACTGAGCTCTAATACTTTCATAAGATGGTGTTTTAACATAGTACGCAGGTATGAAGAGGTTAACCACACCATAGCACCATGGCTTGCTCATGTGTACTATGTGACCTCCCTCATATCTGGGTGACCTCTCTGAGTTTATGTGAGTTGTTTGTTTACCTGCTGTAATTTGGTGTTTTTCAAAAATACCTCCAAATGTCGGGCTAGAAGACCCTAAATGTTTGTCTGCCCTCAGCACAATTTTGGGTACTCAGCCTGCTGAAAAGAAGTCTGAGCTCTGGGAGAAGTGTGAGGTTCATGTGGTCAGCTGGTATTTATGTCCCTGACCTACAGAGCTAAACCCAGTGGTGGGGGTGAGGAGAATGGGACAGCGTGGCCATACTCTAAATATTTATACTTCCATGAGACCTACCCTCTGAAAGACCAGGCACTCTGGGTCTCCATAACCTGGACCCATAGGCCTGGCTCCACACTCAGGTCAGTGACACACTGCTTTTCATGTGCTTGGCCTTTAGATAGCTCAGAGAATGTTCTGATCTCAGTTTTCTTCCAGTTGAAGTTCTCCAGTCTTCTTCCATCCTCTTATCATGTAATTACCTATTCTGTTGCTGTTAAATCTGGTTTTCTAATGGGCTTTATTTCATGTTTGGCTTGAAACTTCTTCTCCTCTTTGATCTTTTATTAAAACCTACAGATCCTGACTTTACCTACTGATATTCCCCCTGCCTTTCTGACTTTACCTGCTGACATCCTCCATCTTGCTGCCTCCCACCCTTACCGTGGACTAGACAAGACTTGGGTAGCCACCTCTTCTGTGCCTTCAGTACTCTTTGTGTCTGTTCAGCCTATTCATAGTCTCTGTCTCTCCCCTATTTAGCTTTGGTCCTGTCCTTTGCTCACAAGTCCCACATCTCTACTTGAGATTTCCAGCTGGCTGTCGTGTTATCCAAGAAGCAAAGCCTTCTCTGAGCCACCTCCTCTCCCTTCTCCCCATAACTTCTGTGGCATAACTTCTTGGCCTATCTTCCCGAAATTCCACTAAGAAAAAGTAACACTGCTACAAAAGACAACTTCTAGTGGCTTACTGTGACCTCTCATGTTCTGGCAGAGGCTAGCAGGTACATTTAAACCTCCTTCTTTAGAGCTTAAAGAGCTCTTTCTCACACCAAAGCCAAATTCACTCTTTCACCCAGATTCCTCCACTACCCGTGGAGACTGTCCCATCTCTCTCAGCTTCCTCCCTGCCTTGGCTCCTCATGGCTGCCAGCCTGCACCTCTGAGTCTGCATGGCTTGTGTGTTCTTGCACTTCCCCAAGCTCCCCCAGACCGTGTGTCCTGCAGTCAGTAACGTTTCAAATGCTGTTGGGCCTGGTGCTGGTCACTGGGCACAGATGACCCAAGCACTTTTCCTGCCCTCGAGGAGCTCACAGTCTAGTATGTCTCCTTCCTACTAGACTGAGGCTCCTTGAGGACAGGGATCGTCATACTCACCACGGTGTTGCCCACACCTGCCGCCAGGAGCACTGGTATACACATGTGCCTCTTCTGTAGTTGCAAGTGGCCTTTTGTGCACGTTGAGCACAGGTGATTGATCATTTTCTCTGAAGCATTCTGTTTCTGCCTGAAGCAGTTTAATTTGCATTTTGAATATTTATAATATGGCTACCCAATAACTTTATACAGTCTGTTTAGATTTTACATGAACAGTGCATCACAAAAACTAAATCTGTAAGGTTTATTTCATATTTTATTTTTTAATAATTTTTATTGAGATTAAGTGATTACATAAATCACAGATTTCACAGTATTATGGGATAGTAATACTTAAAGTCACAAACACATTTTAACCTTCACAAAACAAATTGTCATTATCTTGGTCTCTAAAGTTTGTGAATTCTACAAGCTTTGACAGTACAACTATTTCTTCTGCATTGGGTGATACGTACAGTTCTTTTGCTTAGTGTTAGCTGTTCCCTCTTTCCCTCTCATTCCTTCCCTCCCATTGTTGCCCTTGAGTTGCTTAGTTCATTTTCATCAATGTCCAGTGCAGCTGATGGGCCCCTCTGTTGTATTTTCCAGTTTTATTTCATATTTTAATATATCCAAAGTTTTTTATTTTTATTTTTTTATTTTTTGGTTGGTCGTGGGGCCTGTCCCTCAGCTCTTCAGATCAAGGCTAACGCTCTACCACTTGAACCACAGCACCACTTCCGGCTTTCTCTGCTGATGTGGTGCTGAGGAATTGAACCCAGAGCCTCATGCATGCAACCACTGTACTACGGAGCCACTTTCCCAGCCCCCAAGGTTTTTTTTTTTTTTTTGCTGGTCGTTGGGCTTGAACTCTGGGCTTGGACGTTGTCCCTCAGCTCTTCAGCTCAAGACTAGCGCTCTACCACTTGAGCTATAGCTCCCCTCAGAGTTTTTTACAAGACATAATAGTAAATATTGGATAACTCAGGCTTGTTTCCCAAACCCATTTCTCTCGGCTGCCTTAAGTACCTGTGGCAAGCAGACTCCTCACTGTCCTGCCATTCTTCCTTACCTGGACTCTACATTCCCTGCAACTGCATAAGTTGAGAAAAGTAACTTTCGGGGACGACACTGTGAGACTTCGTCAAAGGCACAGAGATATTACTTGGTCAGATTTTGCTGAGATAGCCTCTGTGACCAAGAAAGCTCCTTTTGCCCTGTTTGCACGCTCACAGGAGTGAACGTGCAGGAAATGGGAGTAGCCTGTGGGTAGCCTTATCTAGTGTAAAAATGTCTCAATGAAAGTATTTCAAGGGCTGGGAAGGTGGCTCAGTGGTAGAGCGCTTGCCTTGCATGCTCGAGGCCCTGGGTTCGATTCCTCAGCACCACATAAGCAAAAAGAAAAAAGCCGGAAGTGGCGCTGTGGCTCAAGTGGTAGAGTGCTAGCCTTGAGCTGAAGAGCTGAGGGACAGCGCCCAGGCCCAGAGTTCAGGCCCCATGACCGGACCCAAAAAAAAAAAAAAAAAGAAAGTATTTCAATATGATTAAAATACTCTTGTATTTTTGTGCTTTATAATTGATTGATTATAAGAATGCACTAAATATTTTTAATGGGAAATCATTTAATCCCTTGTTAAGTTCTATTCTTTGTTAGGTACTATGCCCCAAAACACCCATAATGAACAGCTTGTGCAGCTTCTGTTCAAAAACAGCATTTACCAGGGTACTCATGTCTTTGTGCCATCCTGTCAGTAAATACTGGTCATTCACGTTGTCTCTTAAATCCTGTTTTTTAGATGAGGAAGGACAAGAAATAAGCAGAGTAGCCATTTAAAGTTTTGTCTCATAACTTTTTCACATTTGTGAACTTTTTATTGAGGTGTATAATAAATAACCAATGTCAATTTGAAAACATAGTGAACAAACAGTTCAGTGAATTTTCACAAATTGTACACATGATGTAACGATTATTTAAAACAAGAAAAGAGCCCAGAAATCCTCAAGAATGCTCATTCTAATTCATTGTTGGCCCTCTTATGGTAGCCACTATTCTGTCCATGGGTGAGTTCAGTCTGTTGATATGAAGGTATCAGTAGGTACATTCTGTTTTGCTCATCATTTAGTTTGTGAGACCACTGTGTTATCTAGATAGTTCATTTTCTTTGGTGTACATAATACCCTGTTGGTGAATATGCCACAGTGTATTTGTATCTTCTGCTCTTGGTAGAAATTTGGATGAGTTCCATTTTAGAACTTTGCATGTTGCTCTGCAAGTTGGGCAGTTGTTGCCTGTGAGTGTGCGGATATGACTGTCCCTTTCTGGGGTTCTGGGGTTCCAGCAGTGAACTGAACTTCTGGTGGCTCTAACACTAGTTGTTTCCCAGGATTTATTTTATTTATTTATTTATTTTTTGGGTCCGGTCGTGGGGCCTGAACTCTGGGCCTGGGCGCTGTCCCTCAGCTCTTCAGCTCAAGGCTAGCACTCTACCACTTGAGCCACAGCGCCACTTCCGGCTTTTTTTTCTTTTTGCGTATGTGGTGCTGAGGAATCGAACCCAGGGCCTCTGGCATGCAAGGCAAGCGCTCTACCACCTTCCCAGCCCTCCCAGGATTTTTTGTTTTCTTTGAAGTTACATATTTAGAAATTACTATTGGTGATAAGTCATGCTCACACGTGCAGATGAGATAGAGTGACGTAAATGGTGTGTGAAGTTTACTGGAACCTCACCTACTTCGCCATCCAA